TTGAATATTTAAATAAGTAAATATTAATAAATATGTTAAACAAAAAGACATAATAATCATTTTCTTATAAATTATACTTCTTTAATTTCATGTAATATTTATACGACAACCCATAGAAACACTGTAATCCTTCTATTATTAATATAACATTAGTTTTTTTATATATTAGAGATCGACGCTTTTGGGAAGAGTTCTTTTAGAATCCTTCTGTGGCACACTCGGACTCCCCGTCCTCCTCCCACCCCCAGCCCTTTTTTAACAAGGAGAAGTTTTTTGTGAAGGGAAAAATATTACAATTATTTTAAAAGGACTTAAATCTTAGCATAGGTTAAGGTTTTTTATGTACATTGTTAATACACCTAAACTGTTAGTGCCACTTAGACAGAGGTAGTTAATGAATTTATTAATAACTAAAGATTAAGCATTTTAATTTTTTCAAATCAGCTTTCGTTTTTTATTATTTTTATTTGTTAGTTAATAATTTTATATTCATATCTATGATTTCAAGTTTAATATTTTTATCATCAACTAATTTAACTAAGACTGTGAGAGTTAAACAGGAGCACCTAAATATTTGGGTGGACAAAGTAACCTAGGTTTGACAAGTGGGAAGTTTATGAAACTGCAAAAGAGGATAGAAATCCGACGCGGGTGTAGTGTTGACACATAATTTTGGTGTCGACATCATATGGTAAGCATCCAAAATCTCAACACGGATGTGGTGCTGACACATAATTCATGGGTCGATACCATACGAAAGGCTATCTTACTCATGTATTATGATGCCTTTCAAGTCATGATGTTTATGAGTTTGGGATATCCCTTGTACTTTGTTTATTAATAAATATTATTTTTAGCTGTTCAAAAAAAAAATTTAACTAAGACTTGGTTTGAGAGTGTTAAGTTATAATTGTAGTTGTAAGTTTTTTATATTTTAATATCCTAAAAATATATTTAATATATTTAATATTTATTTTAATTAATATTTTATATATTTTAAAAATAATAAACTGACATATAAATTAAAAACTAAATTACCGATAAGTGTTACTAAACAAAGCCTAAGGTTTTGATGTAGCCAGCTATAATTTGACATAGATTTTTATGGTTTTTATACTTTTGAGATTACAATTTCATAGATGAGGTTATTATTACATCTTTTTAATATAATTACTTATTATATCTTTATATTATACTTTTTCTCTAAATTTTACAATTTTTGTTTCTTAATAAATTAAAAGTTATAATAATTAATTAAAATAAAACTGTGTGAAATTAACAATTAAGAATGTGACAATAACATTATCCTTACTTCATGATGAGTATATCTTATTATTTTTAATGTGTTTTTAATGGTATCAACAACCTAAATAGTTTAATAATAATTTTTTTCAATTAAAGTAAAAGGTTTTGAGTTTGCATTGTACTGCATACAGGTGGATAAGTTATAAGATAAAAAAAATTATTTTTTATTATACAGCTTCAAATAAAAAAGTTTTTTAATACTTGATTACCATTAAAATTAACATGAAAAGCATAATTGAACCAAGAAGACATTTTATATAATAACTTCTAATAAGTCATTAGTTGGTATACCATCTAATTTAATATATTACATAACATATTTATGAAAAAATTATTATTTTTTAGTATAAAATCAAAGGTAAACAAACTTGAAGATGCAATTATGCATATAGCATGCATAGATTAATTGAATCGATTGTACTTATACTATCTTTTAATGGTTGAACTGGACAGGTGTCAAAAAGTGTATTGAACCAAAGGATATAACAGTTATTTTCATTTCAAATAATATATACAACAAATTGAACAAAAGCCAAAAATAGACCAAATATGACTTATGAATATTAATAATAAGTGGACTTGAAAGTTTTTACCTAAATTAAGAAATTTCACATACGTGATACATCTTTATCTATTTAAATTTACATAGAGATATAATTAATCAATAGGTAAAGAGAGATTTGGAATAATTTAAATATGTATATTGAATATAATAGAAAATCTTGTTGTATCATATAAGTACTAAAAATTTTAAAAATATATTAATTTGAAGTCCATATTGATTAATTATAGTACAGTTGAATATCTTAGTATCTCATATATTGATAAATTTTTATTTCAAATAGTTAATTTTTTAATTAGTTTTTAATTAAAAGTTTTTCTCAATTATTTGTTCAAATAATTTTATAATTAGTTATTTTTGGTATTTAGTTATGGTCTCTATGAGAGTGATTTTCTATTCATCACTTTATTGTTTTAGTGGTGCACTTGCTAGTGAATTTTAGCATGTCAAGAGGCCAATAGCTTACTTAAACCAACCATCAGGGAAAACTAACATATCAACCGAACTTGAACCATCCATGAGCCTTGTAGTGTCACAGATTTATGGTATCAATAATTATTACAAATTCTTTCTATGATGGACACAAAGTGATAAACCAAAGGTACATAAAATTAATCTACTAATGATACACTCTCACAATCTAACGTGGCGGATGAATCAAGAAGATGTCTTGGAGGAGAAGAAAGAAAAGGTTTAGGTGAAATTGGCAAACCCTTGACACTTCCCTCCAACATCTCAATCACCTTCTTTATCAATGGCTGTTCAGAAGGCTTTGTTAATATGCACCGCAGCCTCACCAATATCATCTTCCTTTTCGTATCAATTTCTACTTTGAACTTAAGACCTTGTAGTCCAAGTTCATTAGCCAATTCTAGATGCCTGTAAATCCAATCAGGAAAATACTCACTACTATCACTTACCCATGTTTGAAGGCTCTTCTTTCCTCCAACCATTTCAAGAACCATCATTCCATAATTGTAGATGTCTGATTGTGTGAAATAGCCCCAAAGTTTCTGCTAAAGATCTCTAGAGCTAAAATTCTCCCTCCAACCTTCAGAATTGACACAATACTGTCCTCTCTAGTGCATAGTTTTGACAAACCAAAATCAACTATCTTTAGGCAAAATTCTTTGTAAAGAAGAATGTTTTGAGATTTTATGTCCAAATGCAAAATTCTTATGTTGCATCTATGGTGCAGGTGCTCAAGCCCATGGGTTATTCCAATTGCAATACTATATAGTTTTTCCCATTTCAAATTCTAATTGTCCTCCAAAGTGTGTTTCTTGAAGATGAATCTTTCTAGAGCTTCATTTGGCATAAACTAATAGATCAAAGCTCTATCTTCACCCCTGAACAAAATCCTAAAAGTACGTAACAACATTAGCATGGGAAGTTCTACCATACTTGCAACTTCATTAATAAATGCTTCTCCATTCCCTTTAGATATATTAAGGACCTTCACAGTTACAGCATGGCCATCTAGTAAATTCCCTTTGTACACATCTCCATAACCACCACGGCCTAGTTTCTCTATGTATGAATTGGTCATTTTTGTGATATTTGAAAAGCTGTATTTTTTGGGAACTAAAGTTTCATAATTTCTTATGAAAGGATCAATATCTCGATCAGCCTACATTACATTCCTAAAAATTTCCTTTCTCTTAATCTCGTTGAAAACAACTGTAATGATAAAAGCTAGCAATACTCCAATTCCTATTGCAACAATAGTTGTTTAAAAAGCATAACATTATCAAAATTAATTGAAGTGTGTATACTCTTCTCCAAATGTATGTAGCAATACTATTTATTTAGACTATAATTATAGTTAATTAATATAATTTTTCAGTATGCACATACAAATTAAAACCATTACTAGATTCTTCTAGTGCTGAAGTCTAGTCAAGTTTAATGAGATAATATTGCTTGGATTATACTTAAGGCTACAAGAAATAGTTAAACAATTTGAACCAAATCGTATATCATTAGAGTGCTAATCATGTATGCATACTTATTGCTAGAAATCTGTTTTTAATAGCAAAAGTCCTTCCTACAATAACATAATTTTCAATTTCATCAGATAAATTGTTTCAACAAATCCATTTAACTACAAATTAAAATATGGAGAATGCTTCAAATCCATTCTTTTTTACTTACATCACATAAATAGTGCCGATATAAAGTAGATAAAATCAAATAAATTAATTATATTCAAATTCACTCTTTTTTTTGCTTTTTAATAAACATATATTCAATAGGATTATGATTTTCAAGTAAACTAAGAGAGTGACAAGCTTGCCATGTTTTATTATAAATTATATGATGTGTTAGTTTTCTATTGATTAGGGATGGATATAGTATTCCATTGCACTCAAGTATTTTCCTCATCATTTCTTGTCCTATTGTTGATCTTTTCCAATCAGCTTCCCATGAGTTAATTTTCAAACTTTGGTCAACCAAGGCTACTAATCTTCTTGCCATGTTCAAAAAAGACTATAAAAATTAATGTCTAGTAATGACTTTTCCAGGTAGCTATAGCTTCAATAATAATGTCTTAAATGCAAATGCCAAAACAAAATAATCCTAGGTCGTAAGGACTACACCAAATTAATTTATAGTGTAAACAAAATAATTATTTGATTCATCAACTTTCTTAAATGCAACTACAACAATTCCCTCAACTAGATAAGTATCTCTTCGACTTCCTTTCTTCTCCTTGTAATGCAAAATTTTAAAATTATTTCATTCATCAACCCTTTTAGATGTATTGGCATAGTTTTAACAGTTCAAAATCATAATTTTTGGAGAAAATTTTCTGTCTAAATGTACAATTATTGTTGCATCCATGGTGCAAGTACTCAAGCCGTCAAGCCATACCGGTTACAATTTGGTACAATTTTTCCCATTCCAAAGATTATCTCGAGTCACTCTTGGTTATCTTCTTGAATATTCCATAGTAGTAGAAGCTCTGTTAACAAAAGCATGATATGAATTGAATTCAAGGGATGATAAATGATCTCCCCTGAGCATAATAGTCTTGGCGTTTTACACATGATTTTAATTCACACATCTTTACCATTGTTAATGGGAAAATAAATTGGGGTTTATCATATCTTTGAAAGAACTAGAAAAATTGATAATCCTGTCTAGACTCTAGGCTCACCGCTACATAGACTCGAATCAAACCAATAGAGAAAAAAAAAAAAAAACTAATGACAAATGCTTCCCATTCACAAGAATTATGATCAAAAATGAATTTCGACTGAAAAATCTTCCAATAATCACACTTTCATCTTTCATTGATCAATTAAAGTTAAAGACCCCACTATGGATATTTATTGCATTATCCTATACTTCTAATGTCATGGGCCAATAACTCACTCAGACCAAATACAGGGAAAACTAATATGTCAACTTAACTTGAAGTATCCTTGAGCCTTGTAGTATTAATAATAATACAAATTCTTTTTGGTGGACACAAAAGATAAACCAGAGGTACACAAATTAATCTACCAATGATACAGTATTCGAACTTGATGTGGCAACAAAATCAGGCAAAGTTCTTGGAGGAGAAGAAAGAAAAGGCCTAGGTGGAATTGCCAAGGCTTCTACACTTCCTTCCAACATCTCAATCACCTTCTTTATTGATGGCCTATCGAAAGGGTTTGTTTGTATGGACCACAGCCCCACCAATATCATCTTTTTTTCAATGTCAGTTTCTACTTTCGACCTCAGACCTTGTAGTTCTTCCACCAGTTCTAGATGCCGATAAATCCAATCAGGAAAATAGTCACTACTAGCACTTTCTCCACTGTTCGTTCCCCCAACCATTTCAAGAACCATCATTCCATAACTATAGATGTCTGATTTGTGTGAAACAGGGCCAAAGTTTCTACAAAAAACCTCTGGAGCTATATACCCAATTGTTCCTCTAGCCTCTAACATTGACACAATACTGTCTTTTCTAGTGCATAGTTTTGATAGCCCAAAATCAGAAATCTTCGGACAAAATTCTTCATCAAGAAGAATGTTTTGAGGTTTTATGTCCAAATGCAAAATCCTTGTATTGCATCTATGGTGCAAGTACTCAAGCCCTTGAGCTATTCCAATTGCAATACTATATAGCCTTTCCCATCCCAAGTGTTGATTGTCCTCTAAAGTGCTTTCTTTGAAGATGAACTTGTCTAGAGATCCATTTGGCATGAACTCATAGATCAAAGCTCTATTTTCACCCTCTAAACAAAATCCTAGAAGTGTAACAACATTAACATGGGAAGTTCTACTAATGCTTGCAACTTCATTAATAAATTCTTCACCATTCCCTTTGGATGCATTAAGGATCTTCACAGCTACTAGCTGACCATCTGGTAGATTCCCTTTATACACATCTCCATAACCACCACAGCCAAGTTTTTCTTTATATGAATTAGTAATTTTCTTGACATATGAAAAGTGGTATCTTTTCGGAGCTAGAGTTCCATAATTATTTCTTATGAAATCCTCAATATCATTATCACTTTTTGTTATCTTCCTTTTAATCCTCTTGAAAACAACTATAATGATAAAAGTTAGCAGTACTCCAATGCTTGTTGTGGCAATAGCTGTTTAAAAAGCACAAGTTTATCAAGTGTCAATTGAAGTGTATATACTCTTCTCTAGGCTCCAACTATATGTAGCAATAGTATTTTTTAAAACTATGATTATAATTAACATTACTTTACCAATATCCACATACAAAGACCATTATAGCATTACTAAATTCATCTCTTGGTGAGGTTTAGTAAAGTTTAATTACTGTAATAATGCATGGCTTATATTATGGCTATAAAATAAGCAAACAATTTGAACCAAATCATGTACCATAAGAGTACAAATCATGTATGCATACCTATAATCAGAATTCTGATTTTGAGAGTAGTCCTTCCTGCAATAACATAATTCTTTTTCATCAGATAAATTGTTTCAACAAATCCATTTAACTACACTCTAGGATATGGAGAATGTTTTCAATTTCTTTCTCTTTTGCTTACATCACATAAATTGTGTTGATATATATACATATATAACAGATAAATTAATTTTATTTCAAATCCACTCTCTTTTTGCATTTCAAATCTTGATAGGTTGATATTAAGCTTGAATGACTTTTTTTAAATGTCTAGACTTGACATCAGTTTTTAACTTTCCTTGAAGCCCATCAGGACAGCAACGAAACCAACCAAGTTAATCAGTGGAACATTTCAAAACGATATTACCTTAAATAAGCTGGAAAACTAGAGAGTTTGCAATTGAACATATTGATATTTTTGCCAACTAGGCCTTAGCAAACCAGGAAAAAAGGATCAATCTTTCTTTTGTGAGGAATTGTCAATCTATGAAGCATCATCCCTAGTGAAAAAAAATAGCTAACTTGAACCAAAAAAGGGTTAATGTCGTGAATACCATAAGTACCAACCGTGTATTGGGATAATGTTTTTTTTATCAATTTCATTTTGCATTTACTACTATAAATAAATATAAACTAAGGCGCATCATTTTGAGCTTCATCTTACTTCCAAGTTCTAAATTAGAAGCTAAATGCACTTTCTAAAAAAAACTGCTCTCTTCAACATACTCCATCCTTAACTCTAGAAACAAAATCTCTGATTTCATCTTCATCATAGGAGCAGTGAAGTAAATGGATTAACGTATTCAATAGGATTATGATTTTCAATGATTTTCAAGGAAACTGGGAAAAAGTTACAAGCTTGCTATGTTTTCTTCTAAATTATATGATCTACCAAGTCTCTATTAATTGGGATTGGTGTTGTATGCTTTTGCACTCAAGTATTTTCCCTCATTTCCAATCTTACTCTCGATCTTTTGCTATCAGTTTTCGATCTTATGATGTGTTGTATGATTTGATGGTTAATATTGTAGTTTCAACTTTCATTCACTTAGAGGGAGAAGCACTTACTCCCTCAATCATCTTTGCTCCGACCAATTTTACTAAGTCGCCACCTAATTGGGTGGCAAAAACTTACTTTTAGCCCTTCACCTTGTAAAGTTTGAAGGTTTTAGTTCTTTACTTTATACTATACATTTTTAGCCCTTCAACTTATTAGATTTGTAAGTTTTAGCCCCTCAACTTATACTATGACACTTTTAACCCCTCATCTATTAAAATTAAAGAAAATAACCTTTACTTTGTAATATTTTGTTAGTTTTGTTAGTTGAATGTTAATTCTGTTAACTGAATGTTAATTTTGTTAGCTAACTGTTAATTTTGTTAGCTGATTGTTAGTTGACTATTAACTATCAAAAACCTTCTTTCAGCTAATAAAGTTAACAGAACTAATTTATAATGTTTCGTTAATTCTGTTAGTTGACTATTAGTTGATTGTTAGTTAATAAAAATCTACTTTCAACTAACAAAGTTAACAGTCAATATAAAGTAAGGGCTATTTTCTTTGATTTTAATAGGTGAGAGGCTAAAACCTACAAATTTAATAAGATAAGGGGTTAAAAGTGTCATAATATAAGGTAAGGGGTTAAAACCTTCAAACTTGGTAAGGTGAGGGGCTAAAAGTAGATTTTTGCCCAATTGGGTGAAAAACCTATAAAGGAGGATCATGGGCAGGGGTGCAAATTGTCATTTCGATTTTGCACCAGTGAGTCAAGTTTAAAAGTCCAGTCAACAAAAGCTGTTAGTCAGGTTGACTTATTCAAAGAAGACCAAAACAGTGGCAAGCAATGAGTTTCCAAGAAGCTACAATATAGAGTCAATTGTGTTGAATGCAAGTTGCCAGAATAGAACAATCGTAAGCCATAAGCACTACACCAAATTAAAAACAAAAGGTTTTGCATAGATAATCCATACCTGAAAGATGCGGGCATGCTTCACCTCGATACTGATCATTTTTTTTGCATTTCCCACCTAAGCTCTCATATTGATAACAGAAAATCGCACTACAGTTGTATTCCACATCAAATCAAAATTGTTTCATAGCATCAACCAAGGTTAGTTCCCCCGTCCAAATTTTGTTGAAAACCATCTGACTAATCGCAACTTGCACAGTATTGCACTTGTAATGATCATCCTTCTCAAGTTCCCTCGAATAATGAGTAAAGAAGGGTTTGCTGCTGTTATTGGGTCCACAAACATCAATCTTATTTCCATGTAGTACCCAATTAGGTGGAGGTGGGGGAGTACAATTATAGAACAGAGTGAGGTTTTTATTGGTTTTGGATAATTTCAAGAAAGTGGGCGGTAGAGTTCTATGTTGTGGGGTCTCAGGACAAACATATGTCTTGTAATTCTTTGGAGCAATAATCATTGTGTAATCTAATGGATCTGCGTCAGGCGGGAGGAATGAACCATCTGGACCGAAATCTATAGTGGGAAAATCTTTTTCGCAGTCTTTCATGTGGAATCCAAGTGGCCGACAATACTTTGGAGTACTATCGTTCCAAAAAGGATAGTGAAAGGTTCCATGGCTGCCGCATTCGAAGGAAACGGAACGGCTACACTCTATGAACTCATGCAAGGGATCGCTGGATGATGGTGTGAGAAGGAGCAAGATGGAGAAGATGGTGATGATGCACACAAAAGTGAATGAAAAAATGGGTTGGGGAAGCATATCCATTTGTGGGAGTTATGGAGGAAAACTAGAAAGGAATTGGTAGGAGATGATGAGATGGGCTTATTTGTTTCAAGTTAAAGAGATATTTACATAAGCCAAATGGAAGGTCTTTGGTCAATGTCGTCCCTTCTATTAAAATGTAAACACATTTATTATAACTATTTTATACTTTAGAATATTATATTTATATATTTTATACCTTAGAATATTCTTTTTGTAAACACCTATATATAGGTTATTGTACATACAGTATTATTCAAGAATACAGTATTATTTAAGAAAGTAATAAACCTTTCTTCAATTTCTTCTTTTTCTTTTTTGTTTCTAACATGGTATCAAAGCCATAAGCTCTCGACTTTTTTCTCTTATCATCACTATTTGGGTTTTTTGGAGTTGAATTTTCAAATCCATTCTAGATCCAAAATTTTGTCGTTGGGATCTCTTCTCCTACAAATTGAATTGTTTATCCTTAATTCTGAAGCCCTTTATGAGGTATTTTGTTGGTTTGTTTTTTTTATCTTGGCATCTATTTCTTCATATTTTAGAGTTTTCAGTATTGTAAATTTTACTGATTCTATTGCGAGTTTTGAAAGGATCATAACTCATCCTGTTATTGTTATGGTTGTCGAAGAAGTGATGAACCAATCTAATGTCAATCTTAAATCCCTAAAACAAGTGATATTAAATATTTTTAATGTTTCTACTGCCTTATCTACTGCTCTAGGTACCAAACCTTGGTATTTTGATTCTGGTTGTTGTAACTATATGTCTTCAATTATTGCTCATTTCTCTTAAATGTCACCAAATAATTTATTTTCTGATATTTATTTTGCTAATGGTTCCCTTATGAATGTTAGTCACATTGACAATATTTCTACAAAGTCATTAACTTTACCAAATGCCCTCTTAATTCCAAAACTTAGTTATAATCTTCTATCTATTGGTCAATTATGTGATCTTGGTTTTGGAGTAACATTTTCTGCTCATGGTTATCGTGTGCATGATCCATAAACAAGACAACTTCTTGGAATTGGTCACAAGGTGGGACGTTTGTTTGAGCTCAACTATCTACATATTCTTAATCACAAAATGGATACACCATTATTTCCAAATAATTGATTTATCCAAACCTTGCTTTGTGCTATTGAATTAGAGTCTTTGCAAATTTCATACCAACAAATCTTTCAAGCCTGTGTTGTCTATCTAATCTTAGCCCAATTAGCCACATTAGGCCAGTCCAAGTTATGAAGACAAAGACTTTACTAAAGCCCGATAAGGTAATACACAGTTCGGCGTCTTCTGAACGATGTGACAAAAAAAAAAAGAAAAAAAAAAAAAAAAAAAAAAAAAAAAGCAAAGTTCTTGTACCTGGTTTTCCAAAGCAGTCAGCATTCGGCA